TCAGCCGTTAGCTTTTATTCGCGCGGTGGCGCTGCCTTGAAAGTGAAAGCGTCTTTGCTTTTTTTTTTCCCTTTTTTTTTTTTTTTTTTTTTAAAAGGCGCGCCAAGCAATTTATCCAGGAGAGAAAGTGCGGCCGTAAATGACAGAAAGCGGCGCTAGGATTTACTGAGTGGCAGTGAAGGGGCCAGGGGGCCTAAGATGTGAAGCCAGAGGTCTCGGCGAGGCCTATGAAAGACTATAAAGCTTTAGTAGTGGCCCACGACCTGTTTATGACACCGGGGTGTGAGGCTGGCCTCCGCGCACTTCGGGCGACAACGCGCTGGGGAGAGTTAAAAAACAAAAAAACACAAACCCCCCCCCCACCCCCATCAGGACGGCTTACCTTGTCTTCACAACGTCCAGAGGATGCATCAAGCAGATCTCCACCAGACCTGAAATGAGACATTTTTTTCAGGTTTAGAAATGAGAATTTTGTGGGACTTGGCAAAAACCCCCCTCCCCAAAAAACAAAACAAAACTTTTTTTTTTGACACTGATGTAAGTTTTCAGGAAAAGAAAATCCACGCAATAACTGTTCACTCAAGAACTCATGTTGCAGCGTCATCAGTATTTTGGAAAAAAAAATTGCAAAAAAAGTTTTTGTTTTTTTTTTTTTAAAGGAGGAAATTGACATTGATGCAAGTCGCCACAGGACAAATCAATGTTTGTTCCTCATATCCATCACTCAAGAAGCTACACCTCATTCAGCAACTTGATCAACTGCGCCAAGAAATTTGAACTTGTTCACTGCGGCAAGTTTTCGGGTCATTCGACCCCGCCCGCCGCTCGTCATCTGGATTCAAATTGAAATTTCAAGTTTTTTTGTTGTTGTTGCTGCTCTCCATTCCAAAAGGTCGCGGAAGGTAAGCCATTTGTTGTTTTAAACTCTTCAAACTTTCCAGGCAACCTTATCTCGCTCGTCATGGTCGGAGCTGTTTAAAATGCCAACCGTCACGCTCGTTGTTGCTGTTTGGAGGCTTTTGTCATCTTTGCAAGGAGCATGCGACTCGGTTGGACTTGTTTCGACAAAAAAAAAAAAAAAAAAAAAAAAAAAGAAAAAGTCACCAGCTGTGTTCTGCATGCAAATATGGAACGTACAATTCATTCTAAACGACATCTGGAGATTCATAAAAGCGGCGCGGTGATCACGAGCAGACACAAACGAGCAGAAAGCAACTTGTAAGAAGTCATGAGAAAGTCATTCGCCCAAAATTGCGTTTTTATTGATTTATTTTTATTCTTTTTAGAAATATAATGGTAGGACAATAGTAACGTCGTAAAGTTTATCTTGCATTTTTTTTCAGGAAAAAATTCAAAATATTCAGCGAATAAATTTGTCACGTATTAAAAAAAAACTCAAACTGAATACATAAAGTAACTTTTTAGGGGGAAACAAAAACTACCAAAAATACATTTGTCTAATTAAAATGTAACATGACAAGAAAAAAAAGTCAAAATAAAAACTGAAATCGCAAAATGGAAAACGTCGATTTTCTTTTTTCCCCACAATGGATGCAAAAGGACAAAATAGTTTGAGGAAAAAAAGTCATTGAAGTCAAAATAGCCCTCGCTTGGGGAAAAAGTTCCGATTTTTTTTTTCTCTCAATATAAAGGTTGCCATTCAGACAATCAAATTCCCTTTGACGAGAAAAAAAAAAAGTCTGAACATGAAGAAAGAAGAAACTGCTTGGCTGAAACAGCCAAAATTCGGAAGCGAAAAGCGCTGGAGTGCATCAAGTCAAAAAGCAGGAAACGTACGGCAGAAATCCACGGTGACCTTGGATTGACACGTAGAGCGCACGCACGCAGGTGTTTCCACGTCGGCGAGACGCGATTTGGACACGCGACAACTTACTGTCAACAGTTTTTGGTGTGTCAAGTTTTTGGGTGACGTGAGCTCACTGTTGCTCAACTACCCCGACAGCCGCAAAAAGAGCGCCATTATTATTATTTTTTTTGCCCTCGAGTTGCTTTTAGCCGCGCGCTGTTTATTTGAATGAGGAACACGCTGTTTTGCTAGGCTGCAAACAAGCGAGGGCGCAAAGCAAACAAGCTAGCAAGCTCAACCTTGCTGTCCATACAGCGCAAAGACAACCGCAGAAAAAGGCCGGTTTTCCTCCATGCCCAAAGACAAGAACGAAGTGGCAGTAAGACGAAAATAAAGTTGTACTGGCTGCAAATATTCGGACAAAGAAAACAAACAAAAACCCCCCAGCACATTTATTCTCCCCCTTGCCTAGAGTTGGCCCTGCAATGTTCTCTATCTTGTTAAGAAAAAACAAAACAAAACAAAACAAAACACTTCTTGCCGAGGGTGGCTAACGTTACGCCGAGTCGCCACCTGCGCCTCGTCAACGCTACGTAGTGAGTGACATAGCGGCGGCGGAGGGGGGATTTCGCCATTTGAAGCTTCTTTTGTTCGTCCAGCACAATAGAAGTGACAGGGCTTGTCATCCCGCATCTTGCAAACACACACACGCCGAAAGAAAAGGTGTGAATAGCTCAACGCTGTCTGGGCCACGTCCATTAGGACATACTAGAGTCCAGAGTGCCCGACACCCCCAAAGCAATGGACACGATTTGTCCATTCAGGGTTGAAAATGGAACGTAGAGGCTAACTTACTTCAATGGAATTTTCAAAAATGCCTTGGTGGTCTCAAAATAAAGATTCACATCAATTTCGTTAGCCTAATAGCATGACTGCAAAAAGTCATTCTCAGCATACTGTGACCAAATCAATACAGAATGTCGATGTAGTCGCTAAAAAGTGCGTCTTTGCTGGTGTTTTGAAAATTTTCAAATCGGACGGAGGCAACTATGCTAGTAGGCTAACAATTTTGGTCCGTGTTTTTATGACATCGGAAATTCCAGTCGTACCACATTGATGAGGATGTGCAAATTATGTGAGGTGGGGTGGTGGGTTGTCCCAAAACACTTTCGATTTAATTATAACTGTAGTGTAGTTCACTTTAATTACAGAAGACATCCAGTGTAAGCTAGCTAGACCATAACTAGCTTTGTTTTCAGAAAACACTATTATGGAGCAACTAGTTGGAAAACTCTTAAATAGTCAAAACAATTTATTCATTAAAATTCTTTTCCTTTTTTATATCTACACACTTATTAGTGGAATTGTGGTGTCTGTTAATATTTTTACGATGCGTGAATCACCTTTGGGGTCTTTCAACAGGCCCGTAAACACGTACATTTTTGCAAGCATGCGCATCCTGGTGGAAATGGATGTACGGTTATCATAGGGGTCACCAACACGACCCCCCCCCCCAAAAAAAATTGTCGGCCATTTTGGTTTGAACCAACCATTTGAGGTGAATTCCAAAAGCTAGCTCGGAAGCGGATGGGTGATATTAAATTGTTCCACTTGTGATTTTGTGATATTGTTGATAATCTTCAAGGACCCGCCGTCGCTCCAAACTGAACATGACGTTGGCCGTTTCAGTTTGAGGCGGCCATTTTGATGAACTCTGACGAAGGAATTTCCCCAAGTGAGCCCCCGATCGGAAGCACTTTTCCCTCTCCTGATGGGTGGCGCTAAACTGCGCAGCTTGTGCGCGACAAATTTGGCGGATCTTTTTGTGAATACATCATGAAAATGCGGATGCGAGGGCCCATTCGTCGCTCGACGTTTTTCTCGTGTCATCGAGATGGCTTCGTCGTGTGTGCGTGTTTGTGGAAGAGGAGCAACGAGTAGCCCTGCCGGTAGCCCTGCAACTTAGCTGGAGAAACTGATAAGTCGCCTACGAGAAAATAGCTCATACATCACTAGAGATGATTATCTGGACTGGTTGTTGGCTTGGCTTGAGAATGCGCGCACACACAAACATGCACGTACACAATTTGCTCCCACGCAAAAAAAAAAAAAAAAAAAAAAAAGTGAAAACACAATAGCACACACACTCACTCAAGGGAGCGTTTGCACAATGTCAGCAGGTGTCATGCATCACGTACGCACAGTAAATGAGCGTACATCCCGGCAGAAGGTTCCCCGATCAGTAAAGGAAGCCAATCGGAATTGTTTTCACGCTTAAACTGGAACGAGGTTGAACCTTGCTTTTGGTGGGAATGAGGGACAAAGTCGTCATGATTTTGATGAATAATTAAATTGCGATTTTGACATTTTTATTTAATCCGCCTCCCTTCAATTTTGCCATTTAAGATGGGATTTTTTTTTTTCAAGGTCCTCTTCCCATTTATTTATTTTTTTCTGATCGAATCTTAATCAACAAGGTCCGATTTATCGGCTTTATCAGTTCAGATGATGCCAACATCGCGGCAAATGAACGTTTATCTGTTTCAACTCGAGTTGGGAATTGACTGAAGACTTTGACTTGCGACTTTGCAATCATGCAAACAATCCGGTCTTATCACTTACAACTTTTCATGTTTCATAAAACAACCAGATGTAAATGTGGACCACACTTCTGAAGCACTGAACTTAACACACACACACACACACACACACATATATAGATATATATAGATATTTTTTTTTCCCCCCCATCTTGACGGGATCCCCAGGTGCTATCTCGGGCCTTCAGTTATTTATCGGTCTCCAAACGCAGCAGAGCCTGGAATGCCAAACGTGGAGGCGCAGAAGCTCGTCGCTCACCCGACCAATTTGTCAACTGCAGCAGCGCGGTATCCATCACCAGACGGTTGAGATAAATACGGAGATGGGCGGCTTCGGGAAAGTTGTTTTTTTCCCCTTATGGGGAAATAATATGTCAATTCACAAGAAATCGACAGGTGATTTTTTTTTTTTTTTTTTTTGGTGGACAAATTTTTGGGGGGCGTAAAAATTATGCAACTGTATCATTGTTTTGTAAGGATAATAAAACTAATAATAGGTTAAAAAAAACATATAGCGGTGGTGCCCTTAGGTCCTTGAATAGCGGGGGCTGAACGTACAATCGCCCCGCAAACGCAGGCGGAACTCCAAATTCCACTGCCAATGATAAATTGAGTCGTCTTCATCGGCTGGGTGTTTGTCTCCGCTGTTTTGATTTATCGTTACGCGTCACGGTCCATTTGTGCCCGCCGGCTACGTGCTGAGACAGCTCGGGTATGTCCCCCCGCACCCCTGTCAAACCGCAGATGAACCCTGATTACTGACGAAAAGGTGTTTGCGTGCTCACGCGCAAAGTAGGCGTGCGCCAGGCGCTCCCCACCAACCGGGTCAGCCTGACGCGCTAACGACACTCCAACGACAGATTGACAGGCAGTCTTGTATGGACCTTCCTCCATTTTACTGTCACTGTTTTCTTAACACCCCGTGGTCACATTTTTTTAAACGCGGCATGCAAATGTCTGCGAGGCGGCGGCGGCGGCGAGGCGCTTGCGGAAGTGGTGGCGGAGGCGGTCGGCCGAGGGGGCA